AAAAAGTCTTATATTTAGGATCAGAAAAGTATATAATTTTAAAAATTTTGACCTAAAACTTTTAAGGGTCATTTTATAAATTTTTCAAAAATAGAAAGTCAAACACTTAAATTATGGAAATTATTTAATACAATCCAAAGACATTTGGAATATGTGGCAAAGCTTAAACAAGAGGTTATTGCGGGCTCAGGCCAGCATCATTTTTGTTTGTTAATTAAGTAAAATTAGAAGCTTCAACCAGAGAATCAGGTGATCCGTAATAAGTTTGTATTTTGTGAAATTAATACTTATATGATAAATCAAATAATAAATAAATCATAAAGAAGCTGTAAAAATATAAACTTTATGTTTTCTAAACCCAAACTACAAGTTTTCATATATATAAGTATATATCTTTTTAGTTTTTTCTCGTTCCTCCTCATTTAATATATTCTTTTTTGTATTAATGTCTCACACAAATATATAAAACTCAAATAATATATTATTATACTATCAAATCAAATGTGAAATTATTGCAAGTCATTCTCACCAAAGCCACAAATATTGATTTCTTTTTCGGCTTTAAAATTTTATTTTTACAATCAATAATAAAGATCCACGGTGTACCTGAACCAGTCAAGTTGAAAACCAAAAGGCAAAAAGGCAGAACCTTCATGCAATTCTGCGGCGTTAAGCAAAGCAGAAAGCGTCACTATACCCCACAAATTCCATTATAAAATAAAACACTAATAATAACACCATCATCATCATCTTCAACCGCTTCTAATTCATGGAAGATTCTGATTATATTAAGCAAATCTTGAAGGGCAAAGTACCAGACAATCATAGCACAATTCAGGGGGGAAAACAAGAAAAAGAAAAAGAAAACCACAGGAAAAAAAGCAAACCCATCAATCATTTCTTCACTTTCCTCCTCCTTTTCTCGCCTCATAATAAAGACAGCCTCTGTTTTACCATTTTCCCCTGTAACCTGAACATTTCCCACCATGGAATTCAGATCCAGATCATGCAGAGATGAAGGTTGCCACGCAGGAGGGCGGGGATTCCCAGGAAACATGCAAGATCTGAGGAGTTACAGTGCTAATTATAGTAGTCAGAAGGAGGGGAAGATGAAGAAAGGGAAGAAAGCTTCAAAAAGTTGGAGCTTTAGTGACCCAGAAGTGCAGAGGAAGAAGAGAGTTGCTAGCTACAGAGTGTACGACATGGAAGGCAAAATGAAAGGATCTCTGAGAAAAAGCTTCAGGTGGGTCAAGAACTCTTACAACCATGTGATCTATGGATGGTGGTGATTAATGGGTACTTATGAGTTTGTACTGATCTTTCTTTAAATTCTGAATCCTTTTTTAAGTAAAAATTGTCCCTCTGTAATGTATTCTGGAGTTTCATGAACTATCATGTTTATGTATGGAATTACCAAACTTGGTCATTTTCAGCTCATCTTTGAAGTATGGTTCTGTGTTTTGAAATGGAGTTTTTTTTTTTTTAGGCGGGGGCCGATCAAGGAGTGTAAGAATTGCTAGGTTAAGTCTGTTTCTTTGTATTTGTTGCTTGTTTCCTAGTTATCATTCCAAAAAAAAAAAGGAGTTTTTTTTTTTTAAAATTATTGGGGGGGTTAATTTTCAGTATTAATTATTTTGAAAGCTAACTTGGTTTTGTGGGGATTAATCTGTTTCAGCCTCTGATCCTGGTATATATGCTTTTCAATATCAACCTGTTTCACTAAGATGTCAAAATACATTTTGATCGTGTGAGGCAGAATTTCGTTAATGTTTTTATTTGGCTTCCTTAATCCTTACTCAGAAAATTTAAAAAGGGAAATTGGCTATTAAAAAAGAAACCTCTGCCACTTTTTTCTGCGCATATTGTGAAGAGTATTCCTGAACATTTTTTTTTAAAAAAAAATTCTTCTTCATCTGTCTCTCGTATGATAGTTGTTGAATTATTTAGATTACGCATGAATAATTTATAGTTTTAAGTTCTAACACCTCCACTGTGACAGGCCTAAAAGCATGCTTTAACAGTTTGAACTCTTTAATATTACACCAGAAAATGATTTTCCTGGCATCAATGAGTTGGTGCGCGTAAAATAGTATTGATCTGATACTTAATATAGAACCTAATTATTAAGTTGATTTTGGTTTTAAATATAAAACATATTTCTTATATTTATCGATTTTTTCCAAATTATACCTATCGATAGTCCCTCAACTATAATTAAGTAGAAGAGGGAGAGAAAACATTAAGGAAGATGGTTATAGTGTTTTAGAAAAAAACATGTTATATTTCTCGTAATTAACTAACTTACCTAACTTTTTTAATCTAATCAAATTAGTTAAATAGGTCTTATATTATGTACCGGATGAGTACTTTAAAATGTTTCCAAACAAATGAAGCCACGATTATAATTTCCCCCTTTCGTTTGTACGACTAATGATAACACTAGCGCAACTCACTGAACAAGGAACCCCATTTCGTGATAATAATTATATAGAATCATCAAATTAGAAGTAAACGATTTATAAACAGAATAGTTATCATTGAATCAAGGGTAAAGGTGCAAATTTATTCTAATCTTATTTTTTAAGTGTATCCAACACCCAATCTTTTTAGTGACGCAATTTTGCTATTTTTTGGGTGCGTTTTTACCGATAATTTTTTTTTTAAAATACACTTTCACCTCTGATTTTTGGATGCAACTTTAGCTCTAGAGGATAAAGTTACACACACAAAAAAATCATGAGTGAAATTACACCACTAAAAAAAATTAAGGTGTTAGGTGTGGCTAGAAAACAAGACCAAGGCATACATTTGCATCTTTTCCCAGAATCAAAGATCGAAGATAAATATCCAAACAGGACCAGCAAAAAATCTGGTCCTTCATAAATTTGTTTTTTTTTTTTTTCCCCTTTTATGACTTATTGAAGAAACGAATTTAATTATGGGGATTGATTTGTCACTTCAAAATTTAATTTTGTAGATAAGGTTATCATTTAATCTATGATTGAAGATAAATAGCGCCCCCCGGGCCGGGGGGCCGCACTGAGAATCCTTGTTAACACTTACCCTCAATCTTGGCTTTAAACTTTTCCATTCTTTTGTTTCATACGCGACACTCGAATGGAACGTAGTGCAGTTAGAATAGCTTACGAATACGATTTACGCAACCAATTAAAGTTACGAATTATATATAAACTCGATAAATTTGAAATTTATTAAGGATGATAACACTAATCGCATCAGTCTCATGCTTCCCTTTACGTTGAAATCTCTCATAAGACCTCGCGGTAAAAGCAGAGCTTATTATTGGTGTTAGAACTTCAATATGCGAAAAGCATTTATGGATACAAATTATGACAAAGCTATGAAGAGACGAAATACTGCTTCAATCAAAATTTCAAGTAGACAACACAATTCAAAATAAAGCAAAATCATATGCCTTAGGAGCCCTAGCTTCACGTTTAAATGCCTACAGCCTACCCATTTTCAGGAGCTTCTGGTCTCAACTCTTGAAACATTTTGTAAAAGCAACACCAATCAAACCTGGAATCTGGCAAAAATAAAAAAATAATTTACAAAAACAAACAAACAAACCAACCTCTTGGTGTAAGTAACCCATGCTATTCTTTCAGGGGAAAAATCCAAATGACCAACAGAGTGACGGACACTGGTACTTGAAACTGACCCTGATAGAGTAGAGAATACCCAAAGGCACAAAAAGCAATTCTCTCCACCAAAGACCTCAACAGAATAACATAGGGACAAGGGTACACCAAACAAAGGAGGTCGTAGTTGTCAAGCCCCACCAAATCAATGTGAACTTGTAAAAGATTAATCAATGTAGAGTTCAAATAAATAGCAGTGTGTGAGACAATCAGCATTAAACAGGAAAAATAACGCCATAAGTTGATCAAATATTTTGACAAAATATACTTGAAGATCAAAAGCTCCGACTTAGTTGTTATACAAACAAGACATCTTCAACCCATAATCATGTTCACATCTTGCTCAGCGATCACATAATCTCTCGCATTCCCCTACTTAGAAGTCCTCATAGTATAATAGTTTAAATTCAAATATTTCACAGATATCAAAAAGCATGGTTAAAAGTGAAGAAAATTTATAGTAAAAAGGACGCAAAGCCAATATCAGTACATTAACAGTATTAACAAAAGCCTCGTTAACAGGCCAGAGATTGTCAGGAATCCACCTAAGCATGTCTTTACTGTATACTTCTTAAAGTGACTTCCCAACTTGTTGCAGCTTTCTCCCAACAATGCACAGATAACACTCCTTTGAGTAAAGCATGTGAAAGAGTATGAAACTTTTTCAGAATTTACAAAGTACCAGGAGAGGCAACTGCTAATACTGCACCCTATCATCATTAAAATGCAGGCCCTCGATGCCTCTGAGTGTTGACTCAAAATTCTTTGCATTTGACACGTTTCTTCCAGATGAAGTTCTGTTTTGTTCTGATGATAAAATAGGTGAACCTCTTTGAGCGCCAGAGACTTTGCGAAGTGCTCCAGGACTTGCATCCACAGGAAGATGGTGAGAGCGTTCAGTCTCACTGCTAACAATTGCATCACGACTGCCAGAAACAGCACCTCGTCTTTGTGATCCACTTGACCGGAAGAGATTGGAGCTTGACAACTGCATAATCAATACAAAAGAAGTCAAAAGTTTGACAGGATGCTAACTGCAATAGACTATTAACAGGCGGACAGGTGCAACATTAACTGACAGGAAATCACAGCATGATCATAAAGCATCTAACGAGATCAGATCTCCTTACTTAAATGCCACAAGCAAAACAAAAAGGCTCAAGTTGTTTTCATTCACAGGAAATATGAACTATAACCACACTAGAACATTTCCCAAACTCATCAGAAAAATGATAAAGACCCAACACTTAGCATCACAAGTTTCTTCTACGGTAAGCATATTCTATTCCTAAATTCCAATAAATGTTATTTTCCAAACTTCTTTTTCCAGTATTCCTCCTCATTATCTTTCACTTAAGATGAATTGCCAATAGGATGAAGAAGGTTTTTCAGACTTCCCTGGAGCCAGAAGGCAACAGAATAAAAGAGATTACCTAGTAATGAAGAATAAGAAAAGAACATTCAGAGTGCCGTTGTTAATGGTGGTATTCCTAATTATTTGTGAATGGGGAATTATCCCATCAATGGAAGCTAAAAATAAAATGGAAAAGTCTAGGAAATGTTTTAATTGCTCTATTTTATGTTAATTGCTTTCATTCTTATTTTAATTGAAGTCCCAATAATCTCTATCCAACTTCACTTGGCCCTTTGGCAGTCCAAAATAACAAGTTTATAATCATTTAAAATGCATTAGCATGTTTTTGAAAGGACTCAAGGACTTATAAGGAATATTACGATGTAAAAAGAGATGCAAATTGGCATCTCCTTCCCGCCACCGACACCCTAGTCAATAGGACTAGAGCTGACTCCCCTTCCTACCCAATGTAGAGTCACCAGAAGAAAATATGCAGAAGGGTAGCTTGTTGGGGATATCTCATTTTCTCATTCAAAATACCCAAGTGCGTGCGTGCGTGATGCTTAGTTTTTCAAGCCTTTGTAGGTTAAAGCTAATGATTTTTTTCCAAGCATTCGTGGGTTAAAGCTAATGGTTTTCATTTACAGGAGGGTTTCCCTTCTGGATTTGCCAAGGGATTGGAGAGCTCTTTTGAGCTAATGAGTCCACAATTTTTTTCCTTCAGAGGATTCTCAATAAGTCCTTTTTTCTATCCAAAGTGAAAAGAACTTAACCTTAATATATCAACTTTGTTCAAGAAATACACCCAAAGGAAGAAAATCCTCAGTAGTCAAAACATACACACCGTAACATCTTTAGAACCAGCCAAGTCATTTGCAACTGGGGCCTTTTGTCTCGGTAAGATGCCATCATTTGCAATGGGTCCAGAGTTTCTCCTCCGAGTAGGATCTGATGAAGTCCAACCAGTGTGCCTACCATCTTCCCCACCTACAATCAAGTCAATATTCTGTAAAACACACAATCACAAAGGAAAATATTTGACACCAATCATAGACTAACATAACCTTGTAAAACCATTTCGCAGATATTATAATTTTTTATTTACACTCACCAACATGGAAGAAGTTAAACAAGTAAAAGAAAAGGTGGCCTTACTTTCTTCAAGGCATTTTGATCAAAGACATCTCAATCAATATACTTATAGATCAGTGAATTAAGAAAATAAATGACAATATAAACATATAATTACATACCTAGATGTCTATCAGCATTTGCAACCATTGGTGGCATGCCAGAGCTTGGTCCAACACCAGGACCCTGCAAACAACATTTCTACTAAGATCACCTAGGCCAACAAGTGAAGAGAACAACCAAATTGAACATATCACTTACAACACCACGGGCAGGAGGAGTGGCAATTTGAGATTGTTGATATTTCAAAATGGTCCAG